GGGCATGAGCAATCCAATATTTTTCAACTCAATCATCAGGTGTGTCCGTACGGATAGCTGTCAGAAAACAAAAAACACCCATGAGAATACTGGCCTGGCGGAATATAGATTCGTTATTCACAAAGTTCACAAATCAAATTACCATGAAAAAGCATGCACTTTTATCAAAGCCAAATATTAACTACAATCGATTATTAACATACTACCCATTCACATATGACAAAAATTTAAAGTATTAATATACTATTAGGAATCCATAGCCATTGCATTGTATTTTCTTCATTAGTTAGCAGATCCAAAACAATACAACACTCATAAATGGCGACAGCATTGGAAATAACAAAAAGTTCAAGATAAATATTTTCAAGAATCTGAAATCAGCCTTAAAATTGCAGTCTGCCAGATTTTCTTCATTAGTTAGCAGATCGAAATAAGCACCATCCCCTTGAATCAAAACAGCTCACAGTGGACACTTTAGAAAACACACGACATTAACAAATCAAGTCTCAATCAAAATCTCCTCATTTCAACACCAAAGTGAATGCTCTAAGAAAAAACGTGCTGCCGAATAGTTCCTGTCAATCATGGACTGTAGCCCTATGGTTCTAACTCTACTCCCCCTCTTCTGGGGGAGTTATCCTGCAGTTATCAACTTATACTTAGGCAGCTGAACCCAAAGAGGACTCACAACTAACTTAAAGCAACAAGGTTAAGCTGAGATATACAGAAGGATTGCAATTCATTTCACAACAGAAGCCAAGATCACATGCTAGAAGTTACTTTTATTTACTCTTAGAGCAAAAGGGTTAAAAAGTGCTCTAAGATGTATTTAGATATCATCCTTGTACACATGAAATAAGGGAAGGAAATGTGGTCAGCATTAACATATATCTGTTAAATTATTTCATCCTGCTCAGGTTCTATTTTCCAACTCTGTTTTTGCAAGTACTGCTTCACAAGGTATACGGCCCCTTAGAGCACACGATAATACCCCAGCAAGTGCAGTCCTTGCAATCCCCGACTAGTATCATATGTTCTACTTACCCTAAAAGAAAACAGTACGGGGAAAAAAAACATCTGCGGCTATTATAAATGGTCCAAAAAGTCTTAAAAACTGAACAAAGAGTGCATTGCCTTAATACCCATTTGGGCTAAACATAAGGTGCAAAGTTCAGGGAGACATTCTCATTTCACAAATCTCAACTCTGAAACTTAAACCATGCGATCACAACATGCTTTTGACGTGGGTGCTTTAGTTATAACAACCCAGATTAATCTAAAAGTCAACAACTTTGATTATTTGAAAAAAAAAATCATAAATTGGAAGAAACCTCGTGAATCTAATGTGCTTAATTAAATCAAATGCATTTTCATCATTATTTGTTAAACCGAAAGAAAAATATGAACTTTCAAAAGTTCATCATGTGAGCCACTCATTCACATCAAACCAATCACACAACCCAACATTGCAAATCGACCTCAATTAGCCCATCATGAGATTAAATCTCATTTCACAAAAATAAACGAAATTTCAATTCATCTGAAAAATCCCAGATTCTAAACGCACAGATTGAAATCACATACTAACAACGATAAACGGATGAGCTTTTAAACAAGCAAATAAGCAATTAAACCAGAAATGAAAACCCATGATCTGAAATCTGAAAGCAAAAGTGGGGATGAGCTTACTGGGCGTCTCAGGCTTGCCATCGGTCCACTTGGAGACGGCAAAGTGTACCCTCTCGCGAGATATTGCTTCAGTCTTGTAAGGCTCCTTGAGGCAATTCCGAACCAGATTCGCACAGATGTTTGAGTAGGTGATGTAAGTCATACCGGCCGCACGCCAAAACGGCACCGCTGCGTTCGAAGCCATTGTCTTCTTTCTTTCGCTCTCTCCGTGTGACAGTCAATGTGACCTAGAAGAACCCCCTTGAATTTTAGTGGTAGTTAATCCCACAAGCGCTTGTAAATGGGCCGGATCGAGAGGTTTTTGGTTTCTCTATGTATTGTGATGAGGCCGTGAAGAAGGTCCAAAATACCCATCAAAAGCCCAAAATAGGCGAAAACAAAAAAGTCATTATGCGTCTTCTTCTCCCTAATACTGTTATATTACCGTTAGAATTGATTTGATTTAGTCATCAAACGAATAGCATAATTACCAAATCAATCCATTTAGTGACCGATTTGGTTTGGTCATTTCTGCTCATAAACAATTAAGCAAATATTCTATATTCTCTTACAAGTTATTTACACTGCAAAACCTCATATGGTTTCAGAAATAATACGAAAACCTCTTGAGGTTTCTAATTATTTTCCAAAAATTGATGATTTCATATAAAAAAAACTTATGCAAATGAAAAAATTAACCTCCATGAATGTATATCATAGGTGAACTTTGTTATTTGAAGAATTTGTTTATATAAAATCATCAATTTTTGGATCAAAGAAAATAGATTATGTGAAAACAATTTAAAACCTCAAGGGATGTTCGTATAATTTCTAAAACCGCTTGGGGTTTTGTGAAAATGTCGAAAATCTCAGGAGGTGTTAGTGTAAATAACTCATTCTCTTATACATGTTAAAATAAACAAACATATTGCAATTTGTATGGATAAACTTACCCATGTTACAACTTTCAAATACCATTTTTGACATGTAAAAGAACTTTTTGTTTTTTTTTTGCCTTTTTGACTAATTAAGGGCATTGTTGGAAAATTAAAAAACTTTTCATTCCTAAGACTACATAAACCAAACATGCAAATTGGTAAAAATAGCATTTCGTCATTGAACATCCTTCATTCCCATCTTGTGGGATTAAACATGGGCTAATCGAGGGCATTATTGTTAGAAAACTAAACAACTTCTCATTCCTAATACTGCACAAACCAAACATGGGAATTGGTAAAAATAGCATTTCGTCATTAAACATCTTTCATCCCCATCTTGTGGGATTAGACATGGGAATTTCATTCCCTTGAAGTTCAATATGCGAATCAAACAGGCGTAATATAAGCTTTCAAAATCATGATCCCCATGAAAGAAAGGTCAAAGAAGAAGATAATTTATTTATTTATCAGTGAGATGACTAATAAGTAAACCCACATAATTCTCCAATTATTGAAAAATGAAAGAAGCGCTGTGATTTATTTTGGTAATCCCAACACAATACTATTTACACAAAAAAAACATTAGAACTCTGAAATGTGTATCAGATTATGTGAGACTTTTATTTTTTCATTTTATTTTTATGTGAGACTATGTGAGAGTTGAAAATGGTTGTATTTCATTTTGTTTAGTTTTGGAGGCCACAAAAATTTCTCAACTAAATTTTCAATGAAGATGTTTATTCTCTTGTAAGATTATATTATAATTGCAGATATTATTACATGTCAAGTGTTTTTTTTAGATGAAAGATCTGTTTCAATCGAGTCAAGTCACTACAACAAAAAAGTGCTTTTGCGAGGAAATCTTTCCTCGCCACAGGTTCCAATTTCCTCGCTACATCTCTACAGCGAGGAAAACTTGTTCCTCGCCCGGTCGATGGTGAAGCACCGTCGTAGAAGCCTGCAGAGAGGAATGTTCACATTTCCTCGCTGCATCCTTTCTGCGACAACTTAACTATTTCCTCGCCAAACATCCATAGCGAGGAACTCTATCATCGCTAAAGGTCATTTAATTTCTCGCGATAAGTGATGAACGAGGAAAATATTTTCCTTTACATCCTACAACGAGGAAACTATTTCGTCCCTAAAGATAAACTATCATCGGTAATAGTGATATTTTATTGCGACGAATACCACAAGTTCCTCGTTACATCTCTACAGCGAGGAAAACGTGTTCCTCGCCCGGTCGACGGTGAAGCCCCATCATAAAAGCCTGTAAAGAGGAATGTTCACATTTCCTTGCTGAATTCTTTCTGCGACAACTTAACTTTTTCCTCGCCAAACCTCTATAACGAGGAACTCTATCATCGCTAAAGGTCATTTAATTTCTCGCAATAAGTGATGAACGAGGAAAGTATTTTCCTGTACATCCTACAACGAGGAAACTATTTTGTCCATAAAGATAAAATATCGTCGGTAATAGTGATAATTTATTGCGACGAATACCACAAGTTCCTCGCTACATCTCTACAGTGAGGACATAGGTTTCCTCGTGGGATGGACGCTAAAGCCCCGTCGTAGAAGCCTGTAAAGAGGAATGTTCGTGTTTCTCGCTGAATCCTTTCTGCTACAATGTAACTATTTCCTCGCCAAACCTCTATAGCGAGGCACTCTATCATCGCTAAAGGTCATTTAATTTCTCGCGATAAGTGATGAACGAGGAAAATATTTTCCTGTACATCCTACAACGAGGAAACTATTTCGCTGCTAAAGATAAACAATCGTCGGTAATAGTGATAAGTTTATTGCGACAAATATCACAAGTTGTCGCAGAATATATACAGCGAGGGAATAGGTTTCCTCGTAGGATGGATGCTGAAGCCTCGGCATAGAAACCTGTAGAGAGGAATGTTTACGTTTCCTCGCTGAATCATTTCTGCGACAACTTAACTGTTTCCTCGCCAAACCTCTATAGTGAGGAACTTTATCATCGCTAAAGGTCATTTCATTTATCGCGATAAGTGATGAACGAGGAAAATATTTTTCTTGTACATCTTGCAATGAGGAAAATATTGCGTCGCTAAAGATAAACAATTGTCGGTAATAGTGATGAGTTTATTGCGACGAATATCATAAGTTGTCGTTGAATATATACTGCAAGGAAATAGGTTTCCTCGTGAAGCCCCGTTGCAGAAGCTTGTAGAGAGGAATGTTCACGTTTCAATAAAATGCGTTATAACAATGTCATAACATAACATGAATTCAAAAGATTTGGCATCATAATTGAAAACAGCATTATAGTCTCCATAATTCAAAACAACATTAGCCTGTCATACTTCAAAACATTAGTCATCATAATTCAAAACAACATCATGATAAAGATGACTGACTGATATATCAAGTGAAGCCTGAGCTCATTTTCTCCATGAACTCCTCAAATTTTTTTTGCTTCTCCTCCATTACTTTGATAAGTTCACATTGACGATCAAGGTCTTCTTGTTGGCTCTGAACAATTTGTTCGAGCTCTTTGTTATGCTGAGAGACATGTGCTTTTGATAAAGATCCTGGGGGTCGAGGTCCAAATCCACATCCCTTAATATACCCTGATTTTACACCAAGAACTTTGGCAACAATTTCATCATCAGTTATTGTTTTAGTATCACATGTTGAAGTTTCAACTCGTATAGCAATCATCTCCTCCTACAAATAGAATGAACATTATAAATAACATGTATATTTATATATGTGTCAAATATCAAGAAATGAAATAAGAGATAATGATAAAGGAAATCAATGTTGAAAGCTAAGTCGATGGTATGTCAATTCAATAGCTCCAACCATGATACTAATTCCCAAATGTTTGAAGACTACAAATATGATAGTGCTACTAATTATCATAGTAGATAGTCTTTCTTTTATATGACTACAAATATTTGCAGCACAATGAAAACTCTTTTATGGTTATGAGAATATGCCTACTACAGTGTGTTGTGCTATTATAATCCAAATAATCTTAGAGAATACACTCTTGTTTCTTTCATCCAATGATTCTCATGAATTCAAATATTGAAATCATGATTTAGATCTCCATAATCGAAAGCTATGTCGTAAGGAGTATGTAGCAATTTTTGGTGTATTTTTTTATTTTTATTTCATTTCTTATGAATTGTTTAAGATTAAAACACAATAAATACAAAGAAAAGGACATGTGTCGTCATCCTATACGGCCACATGTCATAAATGGTGAAAATAATACGGGAGACATACTGCAAGGAAATTAATTCCTCGTTGAAAGACTTCTATTGCGGGGATTATATTGTTTGTCGCTATAGGTTTGGAGGGAATTGTAAAAAATTCTTGCTACGCTTTCAGGGAGGCAAATATAATTTCCTCGCTAATAAAAAACGTGAAAAATATGTGGAACACATATTGCGAGGCAATTAATTCCTCGTTACAAGGCTTCTATTGCGAGGATTATATAATGTTTGTCGCTATAGGTTTGGAGGGAATTGTGAAAAATTCCCACTACACTTTCCGCGAGGAAAAACTATTTCCTCGTAAATAAATAGTGAAAATAATGTGGAGACATACTACGAGGAAACTATTTCCTCGTTACAAGGCTTCTATTGCGAGGATTATATAATGTTTGTCGCTATAAGTTTGGAGGGAATTCTGAAAAATTCCCGCTACATTTTCTGCGAGGACAAAACTATTTCCTCGTAAATAAATAGTGAAAATAATGTGGGAGACATACTACGAGGAAATTAATTCCTCGTTACAAGGCTTCTATTGCGAGGATTATATAATGTTTGTAACTATAGGTTTGGAGGGAATTCTTAAAAATTCCCGCTACACTTTCTGTGAGGACAAAGCTATTTCGTCGTAAATAAATAGTGAAAATAATGTGGGAGACATACTACGAGGAAATTAATTCCTCGTTACAAGGCTTCTATTGCGAGGATTATATAATGTTTGTCGCTATAGGTTTGGAGGGAATTCTGAAAAATTCCCACTACACTTTCTGCGAGGAAAAACATATTTCGTCGCTATGAAAATCTACAGCGACCACATTGTTCGTCGCTACACCCAACATGTCGTCGCTGCACCCAACATGTCGTCGCTATAGCTTGGTCCAATTTGGAAACGAAATTTAGGTCACATTTGGCGAGCATTTAACATTTTCCTCGCTAAAAGGCTGCTTCTATGAGAAAATATAATTCCTCGCTGAAAAAATCGTCGCTAAAGCAACATTTTGTTGTAGTGAGTGCATTGATACTTAATAAATTGATTTATCAAAATGTATCGAAGAGGATGCAAATGAGATGAGCTGCTTATTGACAATATATCCAAGTGCTTCTCCCCTTTTGAAACTATATGAATCATAGGAGTTTTCTATGAAAATTCTATCACGACTCGAATCACGTTAAAAATATGATGAACCCACCAACACACAGACACTAGAGAGAATAAACTTGGTGATATCCCACCAATTATTAAGAAAAAGGTTGGACACCACACGGTCAACATCACATACTTTCAAAACTCCGTCATGATGCATCAACGGTGTGTCACTAAACCAGCTATCCTTCCAAAAATTGACTTAATCACCCAACCCACTCCTCGGCCTCATACGTTTCAAAAGTAACTCCACACACCATGGACAATACCTTTCCAAGTATCTCGGGTTGAATTATTTCTTAATATATTTAGAGGAATGCTAGCAACCTTCTCTTTAACCTTCTCTTTTGGACCTTCTCCCTTGTACTCATGACAAGTGTCCCTTCTCTTTCACTTAAACTAATATTTTAATTACACAAAAGATCATTAATTGTATTTCCGTATTTGCCCTTTTTTATTTTTTAAAATAATAAACAATAAAAAAAGGGGTTTTTCAATCACTCGATCCCCACCCCAACTCGCCCCCTTCTTCTTTGGGAAAACCCAACAATCAACAGCCAAAATTCATCTCTCCTTCTCCCACCTGCGCAGCCACCCCCACCTCCCACCCCAGCCATTAATTTCATTTTCCCACCACAACCTCGATTCCTTCCCCGTCGATGAAAACCCAACAGCCACATCCATTTCCCGCCCCACCCATGTTTGATCTTTATTTATTTATTTTACAATACCTCCTTCTTCACACGTCTTTGCACAAAAATATGAATACGATGATTTTGTCTTTTTTTTTTTCTTTTCTTTTGCAAAAACCCAAATTTCAGGGAGGATGGTGGGCTAGAACTGATACATAAGAGATTGGGGGAAGGGGTGGGGGTGGGTGTGGTGAGAAATTGCAGGGAGGGTGGGTGAGGTATGAGTGCATGGATGATGGAGAATGGGGAAAGGGACGGTGGGGGTCTTCCAAATGGTTTTGAATTTGGTTAAGGGGAGGGAGCTGGAAATTTTTTTCTGCAAAACGAGCAGGCTTAATTAAGACTCAAGGTGCATGTGGAGTTTCATTTGTTGACTTTGCCAAAGCAAAGGAGTCAATTTGCTTAATCGATGGAGTCCAAGCGTGAGGATGGGTCTGGGTGGAGTGGTGGGTTATGAAGATGGGTCTGGGTGCATGTGAGAGAGAGAATGTGACAATGGGAGAGAGTAATAGAAAAAGTTGTAAAATTTTTGAATAAAAATATTTAATAAGGGTAAATTTGGAAAAGAAAAGTTAGCTTGTTTGCTGCAGTAATGATATTGTTTTTAGTGTAAGGAAGATGACACATGTCATGAGAAAAATGGAGAAGGTCCAAAAGAGAAGGTTAAAGAGAAGGTTGCTAGCATTCCCCATATATTTAAGTATATTTAAGTATGGGCTTAATTAGTGTTTTCCACTTTGGATTCGAATTTTGCTATCAATTTATCTCCTGGAGTTCAAAAGTTCTCACTTAACCCCTCTCTACTTTACCATTTTTCTTAAACTCCGTCCAAAAAACCATTAACTGAAGTGGCATGAAAGTTCTAATAATTTTAACTATTAAAAAATTTAAAATCCAAATTAAAATATGAAAAACTTATTACAGCCAAGCCAATTATTCACATAAACAAAGCCTTGAAATGAAAACCATTCGCTTTGAATTCGAACACAAACAAATACAAAACCCAAAAGGGTTCACAAACATGTGCTGAAACAAACAATAGTCGCAGTTCATTATTTCCCAAACTTGCAAGCGAGACATTGAAGGAAACCAAAAAAAAAAAACGAAAGAAAAAGCAAACGGAGAATTGGTTCTGGTGGTGGGGTTGGCTACTTGTAGTAGGAGAGAACAGTATATATGGTCTGCGTTAAGGTAAGGATGAGAATAACGGCCACTCATTAGAAACAGACCAGAATGATGACGGATTGTATAAATAATTCCGTTTGACCCTTATTAGCCAAGTCCTTAGCCAGCGACGCTTAATATATTCATTTACTTCCTCTGCGAGGTCACCGTAAAAGAAGAACTCGGCTTCACTGCCATTGGAAAGCCTTTTGAAGAAAGAGGCTGTGCTCACCTTGCTCAACTCTGTAGTTATAATTTTTTTCTCAATCAGAAAGTCCACATCTTGTACAGACTCAATAAGTTGACTCAACAGGATGGCATAAGAGGTCATGTGACACTGCTCGGGCTTCCGTGAACATTGTTCGTAGGCTATGAGGTTTCTGATGAAACATTCTCCATCCTCTCGAATTATTATTGGTGGAATCTCCATCACTCCATTTTCAAAGGTAATGCCGAGCTGACTATTGTTGGATGAGGCAACCACAAATTTGACTCCAATTTCTAGAAGCTCTGACACGGAAGGAATCGGAGTTCGATATTCAATATCCTTCACAACTTCCTCGTATGGGCGAACCACCAAATCTCTTACATTCTCGAGTAAATGGCTGCCTTGGAATTTGAGGATTACAGACGTTCTAATATCAAATGGGTATTGAAATGTGGGGTTCTGAAAGAAAAGCCAAGAAAGTTGACGTAGAGATGGCAGTCGTAAGTGATTACCATCTACCTTTGTGACCTTGAATAAGCAGTCAAGAACCGTCCATGGGAGTTGGTTTTCAACTAGCAACAAATCATTTTTAATTGTCGACAACATCCTTTGCGTCTTGAAAATAGCATCATCATCATCTTCCACGAAATTAAAAGCTTCTTTGCAGAGAAGTTCAATAATAAAGCAGCCATCAACGAGCATCATTTGTACAAAGTCATCACTAGACAGAGGAACCCTTTCTTCATAGCAATCACGACAAAAATTTTCTTGCTGTTTAATTATATTGATAAGGTACGCCAAACGGTTGTATAGAGCTCGTTCACGAAGAAGGCAATTCAAATACCATATTTTCATTTTTTCCATGGCATGCAAATGCTCTCTTCCATGGTGTAATGGCCCAATTGAAACCAGATTTGGGGCCATTTCATTGTACCTTCGTAGTGTTTCTGGGACTCTGTATATGGAACTACGAGATTGTAATGGTAATGCGCTTTCAAGTTTTGTTCTCAAGGAGTGTAGTAATCCATCGTTCGCATTGCTGTTTAACATCATGATCCCCTTCAACCTCCAAATTCGACTCGCTCTGCTTTTATTAATACGACAAAATCAGCAAATTAGAGTACCAAAAGTGGAACCATGTATAAAGAATATCTGATTTATGCACGGAGGAGTTGCACTCTTTATTTAACCAAGGTATTCCTACAACTTAGAGATTTATACATGTAGAATAGATTAACAAATGGGATTTTGACACTTGTCAATCTAAGACATATATCTTGAAAATATTATGGGTTGTGTGGTCAATGACCTTCATGGATCATCTTCTTCCTCTCAAAAAATTCCTTCATGGATCATCTTCTTCATTTTTGTACTAGTTACTCATTCTTCTATCAATAAAAAATGCTATCTTTTGACAAACAAAAAATAAAATAAAATAAAATAAAATGCTATCGCCCTTCTCTCTCTAAAAAAAAAAAAAATCCTGTCTTTAAGGTTTTCAAAAACCAAAAAAATAAAATAAAATAAATAAATAAAAACTCATTTACTCTCTATAATTATCAATTCTCTCTTGTCACTTTGGACTTATGATACCCGCATTATTTCAGAAAAAGAAAGTTAATATTAGATGAAGTTAGAATAATTTATTTTTTAAACCTTTTTTCATCACATTGGTAGAATCACAAAAAGAAACAAAAATTCGTTATTTTAGTATATGCATAGACGACGGACATTTGTAATTCCTGCATAAAAGAACCAAGATCTAATTGAAATTTTTTAGATTTCATTGATAAAAAGATAGGAAGGTTGATAACTTGCACAGTGATGCTCGAGACACCATATATATGTAATTGGTAACTGACAGAGGAAAGAGAAAGATGCATGTTTCTAGAACACACACAAACATTTTAAGTCTTAACATTTGTAGGCAATTTGTAGGAGAAACTCACCAGGATGAATCGAGAGGTTCGATGGACCTGTGTGTTCTCTTGGATATTTTGAGAAATCGAGAGACAGAGCACGAGGGGGAGATCGAGAGACAAATTTGGCAAGAGAAGAACTGAAGGAGTGAAGTTAAACCAAAAAATCACACAGAGAAGCAAGAGAGAGAGCGTGAGAGAGAAGAGAAGAACTGAAGGCAGTGAAGTTTAAACCAACAAATGAGTCATGAACTCCGCCACAAGCAGCCTCTCATCTCCTTTGCAGTAGCATCCAATCAGATTCGCCAATCTCTCACTCCTCAGCGTCCCCACCGATCTCGCTTCCTCCGATCAACTAATTTATGAATGTGACAGGAAAATAAAAGTAACATTGAAAACTTGAAAAGCTTGCCTTGCCGTCAGCTTTGGGACAAGAACAATATTTTTGTTTGTGTTTTTTATGGTATAAAGTATGGGATCTGATTTCCCCACTCCCCTTTTCTCCACTTACACTCCCTTTTGCTTTTTAATACTTTTTAATCAATTTTGTTCTTTCTCTTCCTTATTCTACCCTTACTCTACATTAATTTCTTTTAAATTCACTTTTAAATTAGTTCTTTTTCTTTATACTTAATTTTCCAACTTGCACTTTATTTTCAATATATTTTTTCCTTTAATCGAGTAAGAAATTGAGTATTTTTTTTGGGAGCTTTAGTAATATACCCAAAATAGGAGCTAAATTATAAAAAAAAACCCCACATGGAATGCACTTTAGAAACATATCCAAAAACTATTTATTACATAAGAAATGAGTGTTGAAATTCCTATAAATTATGCAACAGCCCGGTCCTAAATTAATAGTTAAATATTAAATTATACAAGAAAAAGACAATTTTACCCCCGAGATTTATTTAAATGATTGAAGAGTTGACTTTTTATTCGGGGAAGATTAAATAATTAAAATAAGAGGAAATAAGTTTAAATGAGGAAAGAAGTGTTGACAAAAAAAAAAAAAAGAAGAGGAAAGAAGTGGAAATGAATAATCAAATAAAATGATTTGAATTAATTAAGGTTTTTGGAAATTAAAGTATTATTTAATATTAAAGGGGCAAAAAGGTCATTTTAAGTTCGGGAGGGAATTTGGAAATTCCGATTGGACTGTTGCGTATAGCACGTCGAGACGAGTCTGTAGACACGTAGTGAGCCCGAATCGGAGTTGTAACGAGGAAATGGCGATCAAGAATAGGCTAGTGGCATAACCATAAATATTTCGAAGTTCAGTTTTTTTAAAAACCCAGAATTTCTTCACTTGGGCAGATCGACCAGCCAACTTCAGGTTGTGATTTCTCCCAACTTTGGCCTCCGTTTCAAGCAAGACCGGTCCCAACCACACTTCCCTCTTCCAGCATCAGCCCTTAGCCGCCTCAATCCGCCTCCGTAGTCGCCGGTCGTTTCTCCCTCCTCCGGGCACCAAACTGGTGGAATAGGGTATGCTTTTCCACCTATTTTTCATGCTCTAGTTGATGGTTAGTTAGGATTTGAGAAATTTCTAGCTTTGATAGGTTGAAATTTGAATTGGATTTTGGCCGGTTTTGGGATTGCATTTCCGGCTACTTCCGCTTGTTTTTTGAGGTAGGTCCAAGAACAAAAGTGGTTCCAAATGGGGTTTTACACCTAGGGTAGAAGTTTGGGATGGCGGTTTGGAGAATTTCCGGGCGCCGAAAATTACTCTGCACACCCACACTCGGCCGGAGCGTGGGCTAGGTGTTGGGGACCACTTCCAGTCCTAAAATGATCCTTGTGTTCTCACGAGACTGTAGGTACTTTCGGATTTCAATTCGGATAACGTTTGAACCCTGAACGGATATCGCCTATTGTGCGATTTCTAGGTTCGATATGTTTGAATCGTTGCATCGTAGTCAATTTCATATATGTTGATCTAGGCAATTCCAGGATCATATAGGATTCGACGGATCGTAAAACGGAGTCCCGGATATTCTAGAAACACCAACCCTAGGGCTAAGTTTATAGTAAATGTCCGATCGTACGATCGTGATTAATCCGACCGTCCAATCGAGACCAAACTTTCGAGACATGTGTCCTAGGAATATTGGAACCTTTAGGGACTCCCGATTTTGTGATAGGAGGTCGTGGGCCACGCGGGCCAGGTTGACCAAGTTTAGGCGGTTTGACCCCTCGGTTGACCGTGAGTCTTCCGAGGCAGTTATATCCTTTGAGAAGGGTTAGAAGGACCATGTAAACGAGTCATGACCGGGAATGAGTTATCTGAATCAATTTATCATAAAATTGATATAAAGGCCAGGAAATAGATTGTGAAATAAAAGGAAAGTATTGATATAAGTTTGGGATACGGTTTTTCAAACCCATCACAAGAGTACTGTTGTTAATATTATGTTAACTCGCAATTGTACGGGGCAATTAGTAGTATAGCAAGACAAGTATGAGGTCGTACCACGAAGATTGAGAAGTTAAAATTAGTTATGTACTTAGATTACCAAATTCAAGAAAGTAGGAGGTTATGTTTAAAACAGAATTTAAAGCAAAAGTGGTTGTGATTGTTGAACAAAAGAAGCAAAATGAAATTTTAAACAAAAGCAAAGTAAGTGTAACAAAGAGTGGTTTTAAGAGCTGGAAAACACATTTGGAGACTACGGCATTCGAATCACCATAACAATTCAATTCTGGGTTATATGGCGTCAAGTAACAAGTCTAATTCATATTCAAAGATTGATTCTAACTAAAGTATGATTAGGCCATGGTGTCTGGTTCTAACCTTGTGTTCCTAATTCCCTAATTTGATCATCTGTTGTCTAACCTAAAACTAAGCATTAGGAACCCACTAAACATAGAAGAACAATTTAAACAACCAAGCATGTGTCTAATCCCTGTTGTCGAATGTCCATACACACTGTTTGTGCCTAATAAATCACGGCCATGAGCTGGCCGAAGGAGCCCTTTTTCTCGGCCCTGGCATTTACTCGTAAAACTGAAACGCAGCGTTTCAACAAGGTGCTTTGCCTTCCTAAAAGACAAAAAGAAAAATGCTAAGGCATGATCATCTCGGCCTCGAGTGCAGGCCGAGGCCGAGGCCGAGGCCAAGCAAAATCGTGGCCAGAAATATTAAAGTCAGATCATCACGTGATAGCAGGGACCCATGCTTCATTCAATGAAGTAGCGCCTGTTTAATGCAGCAAACCCACTGGCCACAAATAAGCATTTAATGCATGAGGAAAGGTGGGAAGTGACTGAAGTCAGGTTTTGGTGACAGAAGACAGAGTGATTAGACGTAGACATTCTCACAAGAATTCTTGCAGCTTGAGAGATTAGGTCACCAGCTATCAGAGCAATAAATGCGTCTCCCCGGCCAGCTGCGCAGAAACCACGATTAGGGCGGCGGCCGAGATTCAGCAGGATTTTTGGGGTCACACCACCATGCTTCACGATCCCAAATGTCGATTGGACACCCACTTGCGCTAATCAGACTCCACTATGCGTAAATTCAGCCTCGATTACTCATCCAGGAACTCTTCCTATAAATACCAGGCTCGAGCCACATTCAAAGGGTTCAAACACCAAACAAAAGCCTCCCACGGAGCAACTTATATTTCCTTTAATGCACTTTCAATATTTTACTTGCTTTCCTAGGAGTAGTGATAGTTTGTAAGGAAAATTCATTCATCAATATATCATACGACCCTTGATTTTCAAGGCGCTGGAGCACCATCTCTGTTGTTCGTTCCCTCACCCCATATATCATACGACCGTCGCTCCCTGAGCAGCGCGCCGGAGCACCGCCCAAACCCCACCACCAACACCATCACTTAACGGCCTTGTAGTTCAGGCCGTGAACCTAACAGCCGAGACTAGTTCCTCTCTCGGCTACAATCGTTTGATTAGAGACGAGTTCAAATAGGCGCACCACTTATCCATCCTACACTCATCAACATCTCGACGCACGGTAGACCGTGCTGGCACGCCCGCGCACAACCGCACCGCACCCAAAAGCAGGAAACCGCGTGTCAACGCACATCCCCTCGGCCCGGAACTCCAGGCCGTGAGATTTGCGCGGCAGACACACACTCTTCCTATTCATAGTTCAATTTGAATCAAAGCATGATGTCTATTCTTGATTCAAACCAAGATAGCTAACATACAAGTTCTAATGGTGATCAATCATTCAAACAAGCATATTAACTGATAAGCATAATGAATAAGAACATGAATCATGAATCAAACTTGAAACTCCAAACTTCAAACTTATAAACCCAGAATATTCATGTTAGGGTACATCAAAGCCCTAGTTATGAAATTAGCTGCTCATAATGAAAAAGAAACTTAGATAGAAATGAGAAAACATAAGGAATGCAATAAGAGTAGAAAAACCCCTTTTCTGAAGTTCTTGTGGTGTCCAAGACTTCTTCAAGTGTTTCTCCACGTCTAATACTTCTCCAAGAGCTTCCCCACATCTAGAATGATGTATGACAGCTAGTAGGTGATTTGGGATGAGTTTGGGTGAGTGGTGATGGCTAAAAAAGAGGAAATTCGTAGGGAAATGGAAGGGAGGCTTTTTGGAGCTGTTTTGGTGATTTGGGTTGATTTCTAGAGTGTATGGGGTTGATGGGATGATGGAAGTGCAGAGGATGGCTGAAGTGCAATTTGATTGATGGAATGATGGAAGTGTGGAGGATGGCCGGAGTGAATTTTGTAGCTTGAAGACTTCTCTATTTATAGGGCTAAAAGGGAGGAACATCATGATGAAATCCAACACCCCCATTCCTCTTTTAATACAATTCATAACTCCCACTTCATCTTGTCTATGTTAGTGTGGTTGGAATCAATTCCATCCCATACTTCTTTTGCTGCACCTCAAGC